TACACCATTAAAAATGGTAAAAAGAAAAGCCGGGTGTGGTGGCGCACACCTGTGATACCAGCATTCTGGGAGGCTGAGGCAGGAGAATCACCACAAGTTCGGGGCCAGCCTGGGCTACATAGTGAGTTCAAAGCCAGCCTGACCTACACTGTGAGACCCTGTCTCAAAAAAAGTAAAAAGACTGTTTTATATGAGTAAGCTTCAGACAAGAACAGGTTGAGAAAACATTTAAGATTTTTTTTTTTTTTTTTGGTACCAGGGATCGAACTCAGGCCTTTGCGCTTGTGCAGCAGGTGGCGAATCCACTGAGCTAAATCCCCGGCCCCAAACATTTAAGATTTTAAGAAAAGGCAAAATAACTTGGAAAGCAGACACATTTTCTAAGACAAATAAAGGCAAAAGTTTTTTAAAAAGTGTCAGCTCACCCACATGTGACACTGAGGAACACAGACAAGTGAGAGATAGGCAACTTTCTCCTGAACCAGCAGGTTTTCAGGTAGTTCGATAAAGGCTGATGATAGAATATTAAAACTCCATGAGGGCCGGGGACTTAGCTCAGTGGTTTCACCGCCTGCTTTGCAAGTGCAAGGACCCGAGTTGGATCCCCAGTACCCAAAAAAAAAAAAAACAAAACTCCATGAGACCCACTGTGGTGACCCACACCTGTAATCCCAGCACTCTGGGAAGCTGAAACAAGAGGATGGCAAGTTCATTCAGCCTAGGCAACTTAGTAACTTGGCAAGACCCGTCTCAAAAAAAAAGGGTAGGGATGTAGCTTATTGTAAAGGTCCTGGATTCAATACCCAGTACCACAATAAAGAAATAAGTAGGGGCTGGGGATGTAGTTCACTGGTAGAGCATTTGCCTAAGGAGCACAAAGCCCTGGGACTGATACTCAGCCCCAGAAAAAAGAAAAAAATAATAACTTTTTTTTTTTTTGGTATCGGGGATTGAACTCAGGACCTTGGGCTTACAAGGCAGGGACAGTGTCACTGAGCTAAATCCCCAGCCCATAATAATAACTTTGTAAAATCTAAGAAAGCAATGACAAGCAGGCAAAGCTGGCAAAAAGTGCTGAAAATGAATCAGGAATAGAGAATCCAAACCCTGAAAATGACCACAAGGCCACCACTGCTGCAAAACTACCCTGATGTTATGACAATAGCAAGCTCCCCAGGCCCAGGTCCAATGTACAGTCAGTCCTGGCCCTAGTATACAGTAGGTGCTCCTGTAACACTTGTGCACTATAAACAAATGAATCCCCATATTCCACAAGAGGACACTGAGGTCCAAAAGAGTTAAGGTCACATGGTCAGTAAAAGATGGAGCCAAGGGCCGGGGATTTAGCTCAGTGGTTTCGCCACCTGCTTCGCAAGCGCAAGAACCCGAGTTCGATCCCCAGTACCAAAAAAAAAACCAAAAAAAAACACTTTTGGGGGGAAGAATAAACATCACAGAAGGACCTCGTACTTAGTAAGATCTTAACACACAGGAAGCATTTTATATGTATTTATCAACTCCTGCTGGGATGTAGCTCAGTGGCACAGTGCCTGCCTGGCAACTGCAAGGTCCTGAGTTCGATCCCCGATACAAAAAAAAACCCACACCAAAACAAAACATTTACCATCTCCTTATGAGACCTAACCTCATCGGTTGGATCCAGTCTCATTTTACATATGAGAAAAGTGAGGCCCAACATGGGTATTCAGCTTGGCCAAGGACACACACCAACAGAGGCAGGGATATAAACCTGGGCCTATCTGATACGAGTGCCTTTAACCATAAACTTCACCTAGGCATGGTGGCACACACCTGTAATCCCAGCACTCAGGAACAGGATTGCCACGAGTTTGGGGTCAGCCTGGGCTCCATAGAGAGAGCCCAGGGGAGAAAAAAAAGGGGAGAGGGTGAGGAGGGGCCAAAAGACTTGCCCAAGGTCACACAGCAAATAGATGGCAGAACTAAAAATCCTAACCCAAGGCTGCTCTGATCTCTGTCCCTACTCACCACACTTTATTGCAGTATAAGGAGAGGGGACCAGATCACAGTAGTGAAAGCCCAGATCTGGAGCCAGGATGCCTCAACTGGAATCCTGAGTCTATCATGTAATGGTAGCTGACTTTGCAAAAGTTCCTTAACTTCTCTGTGCCTGCTTCCTTTCTATAAGATGAAGCACTTACATCTTAGAGGTACTGTCAGAATCAAATGAATCGACATGAACAAACAGCTAAAAACACAGCAACACAGCCAGGCATTTGGTAAAACAGTTAAGTGTTAGCTGGATCAGACTGTGGAGAGCCCCTGCTTCTGAGCTAGGGTGTGCCCACATCAGTGCCAGGATTTGGGAAAATGCCTCTGGGGCTGCACTGAAGAGGAGGGAATCCATTAGCAGTTGTAACCCAGGCACACTCCTGGCATGGAGAGCTTCCCACCAACAGCACTGAGACTTAAGACTTAGTCTCCCACCAACAGTAAGGAGCTTCCCTTTAGTCCTGTCAGTGGCTTGCTCCTTGTTCTCATAGTGCAGATAAGGGCACTGAAGCTTACAGAGAAAAGACTGGCCTAGGTCACAAAGGAGGAGCAGAATAAGGGATCTAAACTGTCCATACAGCTAAACCACTACACTCTTCTAAATCCCAGAGAATGTGAGAGTGCCAACGATGGCCTCTATAGTCCTTTCTGGTCACGTTATCTTAAGAGTTCTGTAACTGTCCAGTTTATCGGGGGTCTCTGGCTGGATTAGGGAAGCATCTTTATATCCAGGTCCCTAATCTCACGCTCCCTACCCTACCCTCTGTCCTGGAGCCTAGCCTACACTCTCATTGATTTCTGACGCCCACCTCCATCATCATCCTGCCCAGAATCCACTCCAGAGAATCCAACCCCTAGAATCCATGGTTTTGGCCTCTCCCCTTCAGACTCTCTCACACAACTAACCCAGACCACCAAGCCTTTCCACACCCCCCAGGACAGTCCCCCTCAAAACTGCTCCCTTCAGGGTCTCTGCCTGGACGCCCAACCCCGTCGCCGACTTGGAACCTTCCTCTCCAGCTCTGAGGCCCCTTACAATCTATCCCCACCCTCCCCACCTCCAAGACCCCTCCCCAGACCCCCCCTTCTACTCCCTCGAGCTCCCATTCCTCCCAATCCCCTCCCCCAAGCGATCTCCTAGCACCTAGCCCTTTCTTTAGCTTCAGCTTGTTCCTCCTCCAACTCCCCGCGTCTCAAACTCCCGCCCACACTCTCCAGCGCCCCCGACCCCGTCTGGGGCTCTCACCATCTCCGCGCGCCGCAGCTCCCTCGACTACGCGGGTTGCCCTTACTCGCTCTTCTACATCCTCCCCTTCCGGGTTCGAGCCCCAAAGCCCGCTGGGAATTGGAGTCCAGGAGAGTAAGGACTACATCTCCCGGAAGGTAGCTCGGCAGATTGGAGGTGGGGTAGGAAGCCAGTAGGTGGGCTGAAGGGAAAAAACGACTAACTCCCAGGAGGTAAAGGGAGTACTCGTCAGCGCAGGCGCAAGAAATTCCCCCGCGAGGCCCGCTGGGAAATGGAGTCCAGCTTTCTCCCATTTTGGCTCGGGGCCCTTGGAAAGGGGTTTGAGGGACTTGCAAAGGATTATCGGTGAAGGGTGGAGAGTACAGGAAGAGAAAGTTTATTGATTTAGTTATGCTAATTAACACAATAATTAGCAGTGCTTTTGTACTTTCCCAAACACTTTCCCTTACCTACTACCACCTCATTTACCAAAGAGAAAATGAGAACATGGGAGAGAAAAGCTTGTACATTACGACACCAGGAGCTAGTCCACATCAGTTAGGATAGAAGCTGCATGAGGGCAAGAATCTGTGTACTTGTTCAAACTCCTGAAACAGCATAAATACGGGTTGAATAACTATTATGTGCTAACACTATGCCAGACATTCTGCAGACCCTAATAAGAATTATGGTCTCAAATTTATAAAGGAAGAGTTTAAGTCTTTTCTCCACAGCAACACAGGAAAGTGAACAGAAATACACAGATCACCTCCCCTTAACATATGGGGTGTAATCAAAAAATATGGTAAAATGTTTAAATTTTGTAAAAATGCATTACAGTGAAAGATACATTGTCATCAATCCCTCTCAAAATATTTTCCCTTGCTTCAAATACGTTTATCACATCCTTCTTGGCAATGTTTCTTTTACTTTTATAAGTTTTTTTATTTTTTATTTTTTTATTTTTTTGGTACTGGGGATCAAACTTGGGACCTTGCACTTTCGAGGCAGGCGGTGGAACCACTGAGCTAAACCCCTGGCTCTTAAATTTTTAATTTAAACATTCACTGTAACTTTGGGTCAAACCTTGTATATTTTTCTCCTGGGCACGATGGGCACACCAGTAATCCCAGCTGAGACAGGAGAATTACAAGTTTGAGGCCAGCCTGGGCAATTTAGTGAGACCTTGTCTCAAAATAAAAAGTAAAAGGATCTACAGGTGTAAATCAGTGGTAATGTGTCCCTGGATTTGTTCCCCAGTACCGAGGAAAAAAATAAGAGATATATTTTTCCAGCCTATCTTCTGCATGGGCCATGAGAATGAGCTTTCTAATGTACAGCTTGCTCATGGCTCAAGGACCTTGCACCTCGTGAAAAGAACTACTATGACTAAGGCTCAAGGAAGCTTGGTAAAGTTCCCAGCATGCAGCATGGGGCTTGGCACACAGTAGGCCCTAATTAGATATGCACTGAAGGGAAAAGGTGGACATGGAGCACAGGAGAGTCAAAGACGGATGGCTAGATTCCCCCATCCCACCCCCAGTTGGCAGTTGGGGGAAACCTCGCCTCCTCCTTAGGGTCCAAGGGCCCTGACCCTTGAGAAGAGTCTGGAGGTTTGGCAAGGGGTGGGGGCAGCCTGTAAAAAGGCGGGTAGCTGAACGAGAACTGATTGGTTGACACTTTGGCGCCCAGCACCAAGTCTCTCCTCAGGAGGCGCGAAGCTCAACTCAGTGCAGGACAGGGCTATGCCGCAGGTGCGCGTGCGCAGAGCCTCTGGCGCCCTGCCATTCTAAAGCGTGACCTCAGGAGAGCATTGCGGTTCCACTCCTCAGGCCTCGAGCCACTCGGAGTCTCGCCTCTGCGGAATTCATAGCTATCCCACTCCGAGCTTGGGAACCAGGCGTTTCGGGCTCGTGAGTGCCCTTCCAGGACCAGCGAGGGACGCTGTCGCATCTGGCTCCCATTTCTGGGGCTGGCACGAAAGCAAGAGGACCTCACGCCATTTTGCACATCTTGAGGCGGGTGCTATAGGCCAAGGGGGATGGGGCGGGGACTCCCCCTGTTCTAGATGGCTCGAGGGAAGGCCAGGGTTCCCAGAGTGGCACTTTGTGGCAGGGGGAAAAGGAAATGGGGGGTACAGACATGCCCGGGGTGTAGGGTAGGGGCCGGGCTGGGCTATCCTTGAGGATCTGCGCTTGGTGAGACTGGGATTTCTGTCTGAGGTAATGCGAATCTGAAGATCCTGGGTGTGTGACTGGGCGCTTTCCTGTTGGAATCCCTACACCCTGATTTGGGGACCTGGAAGTTTTAGTTTTGAGTTCTGGAGTATGGGGGGGGGGGCGTCTGATTTTGGAGGATTGAAGCCTCTGTGTAGATCTCAGACTCAAATCCCAATGTAGACTATGGAATATGAGATTGGAGTTGAAGATTAAGTTTTATGGTCAGGAATCCCCACATTGATATGGGGTGTCAATTTTAGGGTCTGTGTTCTCAGTGGGATTCACATATGAGATCTCACTTTTAGGGATGAGGTCACAATTTGGTGGTCTGAAGTGATGGTTTGGGGGTCTAGAGGTCTTTATTTTAGGATCTGAGGTAAATTTCAGGGACAGGTTTGTTTTGAGGGATCTGGATTTTTTACTTTAGGTTTTCAGGGTTAAGGTTTGTGGGCTTTGGTCTTGATATTAGCATTGGAGTCCTATTGAGGATTAGAAACCGACATTTGGAGGGTCTAGGGTATCAGTATTGGAGTTTTGGATTTGGAGGGACTCATTTTTGGGTTCTGGGTTCTCACTTTGGGACTTGGAAGTCATAATTTTAGTGTTACTATCACAGTCTAGAGACCTCAAGCCACAATTTTCTGGCCACATAGTCTGTACTTCAAGGACTGGCATCTCACAATTGAGGTCTCAGTTCTAAAGTCAAAGTTTGGGAATTTGCTGGTTTAAATTTTAGGTCTGGATCATGATTTAAGAGACCAAATTTACAATTTGGGATTCAGTTTACATAGTTTTATAGTTTCTTTTGTCTTTTGGGGGCTTTTTTGGTACCGGGGATTGAACTTGGGTCCTTGTGCTTGTGCAGCAGGCGGTGAAACCACTGAGCTAAATCCCCGGCCTCATAGTTTTACAGTTTTAAGTTAGGTCTCTGAGGCTGTAGTGGTAATGAATGGGGATTCAATTTTAGGATATCGAGGTAATCAAAGAAACACTATGGGGGACATGAAGGGTAGCCATCATGTGGCCTGTTCCTCTGGAGCCCCAAAGATTGCTAATAATTCTTTTTCCTTTTTGCAGATGTTGGGTTCCAGTGGACACCTGTGTTCTCTTGAACAGCCTAGAACCAGTTCCCTGGGTCCCGGTGACAGGTAATAACTTCCTTCATAGCTCTTATAGTTCCAAGCACTCTGGTTGAATAATAATAACATAATGTTTCTGAGTATTTACTGTTTGCCAGACTCTGCTAAGCCCTTTGATTGTATAGTATTTGCTAATCCTTACAACAACATCACAAGGAAGTGGAAGAGAATATTCCTGCCATTTCCTAGCTGAGAGAGCTTTGAGATAATTGGCAAAGATCACTTCTAAGGTCCTTATAGGCTTTAACATTCTCAGATTTTTTTGTTTTGTTCTTTTCGGTGCTGGAGATTGAACCCAGGGCCTTGTGCATGTTAGTAGGAAAGCCCTCTACTACTGAGCTATAACAAGCCCCCATTCTGAGTTTTTAAAATGTCCTTCCTTTCTTTAAATCATGCATGCATTCATGTATCCATCAAGCACTTACCAAATGTTAGGATTTTTGTGTGTTTGTATGTACTGGAGATCAAACTCAGGACTTCATCATGGAATCTTACAGAGGGGATTTACACAGATTGAAGGTTGGATCATTTCTCCCTCCATCCAAAATTAGATAAAGGAAAAATAGAGTTTATCTTATTCCTATGTTCTCCCCTAATAACCTTCCATTCAACCATCTTCACTGATTTATTAACTCCAAAATTAAGCATCTCCTTTGTTCAGGCTTTCTACTTAGGTGCTCAGAAGGAGTACCATGAAGAAAATGAAGACTGTCTACCTTTGCTGCCAATTCCTACAGGAATACCAGACATCACCAACAATTTGGTCTTTTTCCCCCTTTCTAGAAGTGGGGTTCTTATAGTTTTAATAAAGATTCTTAGTTGCAATTAAGAGAAAACTAGCTTAATACTAATGATGTTTTGTTGGATCATTTAAGCAAAAAATTTAGGGGTGTCAGGCTTGGTTGGTTGTGGGGGGAGGACGGTTAAGCAATAGTGCCAGGAATTTGACTCTAGTGGCTCTGCTGTTGTTTAATAGCTCCAGTCCATATCCAGCCAGCTTGACAACCCCAGCATTGATTGACTCTCATTGGCCAAACTTGGCCAGACCCTGAGCCAATCACTGACTCCTGTTGGGGGTGGGGGGAGGAGGAACAGAAGGGACCTTAGTTCTCTGCCCCCTTGTGGAAAGGGGTGGAGTGGGGTCAACCTTTCTTAAACTGGCGGTAGAGTGGAGGTAGAGTGGTTGCCCAAAGGAGAGTCAAAGTACTATTACAGAAAAGGGGGCATTGGATGTTGCTTAAGAAAAAACAGCCGTTGTCAACCATAGTCATCCTATACAGTACTACAACTCATTCTCCAACATTTCTTACCTCTAAGTCACTTAAACAAATGACTGTTCACCTTCTCTTGAGCTAACATTTCATAGCAGTCCCAATGTGCCAGGTACTGTCTCAACAGCTTTCAGATCATTTTTCTCCTAGCCACCTCCATTTTATGAGTGAGGAAAAAAAATGGAATCAGAGAGATGGAAGGACTTGCCCAAAGTCATACTGCAAGTCGAAAAGCTAGAATTTGAATCCTAGGTTATCTAGTTTAAAAGCTGGATCTTGGCCAGACATGATGGCACATATCCGTGAACCCAGCACTCTGGGAGGCTGAGGCAGGAGGACCGAAAGTTCTCTAAGTTGCCCAGACTGGGTTGAAATTTCAGTCTTGTCTCAGCCTTCCAGAGTTCTGGGAATACAGGCATATCAAGCTAATTCTCCCTTTTAAATTCTTGCACATGTTAAAGCAAATTAGGTGGTGGGATTCAGTTCTTTTGGGGGAGATTGATCCTAGGGCCTTCTACATGCATGCTAGACAAGCGCAACATCCCCAGCTTTTAAATTTATATTGAGATAGAGTCTCATTAAGTCGCCCAAGCTGGCCTGCAACTTGCAGTCATTCTGCCTCAGCCTCCTAAGTAGCTGGGTTTATAGAAATGCACCAGTGCACCTGGTGGGATTAGTTTTTCTGTATCTAATAATGAGAAGTTTGAACTGGCTTTTGTAAGTCTTCTTCTAGTGCCTCTAAAATAAAGAAACTATGATGTGTTTAGGCTAATTACCTTGGATAAGAGGAAAATCAGGAATTGGAACCATTTACTACTTCAAAAGGCTGAGAGGCTATCATAAGACAGAAGCAGCATCATTACTTTAACAATCTTTTATTGAGCAGCTGCTAAGTGCCAGGCATGACTTTAAAAGCTAAGAATACAACCAGGGATGCATTATGACTTGTGGGATCTAAGTAACCTTTTCTCCTTGGTTCCCTTCATTAAGAAAAAAATTACAGGGCCGGGGATTTAGCTTAGTGTTTCCAGCGCCTGGCTCACAAGCACAAGGTCCTGAGTTCCATCCCCGGTACCAAAAAAAAAAAAAGAAAAAAGAAAAAGAAAAAGAAGAAAAGAAAAAAATTACAGGGCCAGGGATTTAGCTCAGTGGTTCTGCTGCCTGCCTTGCAAATGCAAGGACCCGAGTTCAATCCCCCGTACCAAAAAAAAGAAAAAAATTACAATAGTCAGGGACAGTGGTGCATCCCTGCAATCCCAGCATTCTGGAAACTGAGGCAGGAAGATCACTGCAAGTACAAGGCTAGCTTGGGTTACATGGTGAATTCAAGGCTTGTCTGAACTACATAGCAAGACCCTGTCTCAAAAAACAAATCACCCCCCAATTACAAAAGCATTGATATTAAGACAAATACAATGCTAATTTTTATATCAACTTTTCTCTTTAAAAGAAAAACATTTTCACAAAATCCTAAAAGTGTCACAGACCTAAGGCACTGAGCTTCCTGCAACTAATGGATAAATCAGCCTGAGATACAGCAGAAAAGGCAAAAATCCCTGTTCTCTTGGAATTTATAATATGAGATTAAAAAATAAGATATCAAATGCTGATAAATAATAGAAGGATGTAATAAAGAATGTGCTTATTTATTTATTTATTTATTTTGGTACCAGGGATTGAACTCGGGTCCTTGCACTTGCGTAGCAGGCATTGAAACCACTGAGCTAAATCCCCGGCCCAAGAATGTGCTTATTTAGATTGGGTGGTTACAGAAGGTCTCTCTGAGGAGGTACCATTTAAACTAAATGCTTGAATGATAAAAAAGAAACCAGCCTTGCTACAATCAAGGCAAAATGCCAGGCATGGTGGCATATGCTTGTAATCCTAGCACTCTGGGAGGCTGAGGCAGGAGAACTGCAAGTTTAAACCCAGCCTGGCCAATTTAGCAACTTAGTGATACTGTCTCAAAATAAAAATAAAAAAAGGGCTGGGGATGTAGCTCAGTGAGAAGACTCTGGGTTCAATCCCTAAAACACCTCCACACACATACACACATAATCAGGGCAAAAGAATAATGTGGGAAGAAGGAACAGTGAACGCCCCAAGGAGGAAATATACTTGGCAGTTTAGAAAAACAGATGAGGCCAGGCGTGTTGGCACACACTTAGGAGGCTGAGGCAGGAGGACCAGAATGAGTTTGAGGCCAACCTGGGCTACATAATGAGTCCAAGGCCAGCCTGAACTACACAGTGAGACCCCTGTCTCAAAAAAGAAAAACAGATGAAGACCCCTGAAGCTAAGTTGACCTGTTCCCTGCAGACCCAGAGGGCAGAGCTAGGATTAGTGGGTGAATATTGTAGACTGAGGAAAGAAATTGGCTAAATCCAGAAGCATCTGCTGAGAGGTAACTTTGGGAGGGAGTACCCAGGTCCTGGAGGCCCTGAGAGCAGAGCCCAGGTTGCACCTATTCAGAACTGCTGCCCAGGGAGTGCCAGGATTTAGAGATGCCCAGTCACTTTTTGCTCCCTTCTGATTTTTCTTCTATGTCTATGTTTTCCCAGAAGGCTCTTCAGGGACTTTGCAAAATAAGAGTAAAAGCCAGGGGCCGGGGATTTAGCTCAGTGGTGCCACGCCTGCCTAGCAAGTGCAAGGTCCTGAGTTCGATCCCCGGTACTAAAAAACAAGTAAAAGCCAGGGGTGGTGTGGCACATGACTATAATCCAAGCTTCAAGATTGAGGCAGGAGGATCACAAGTTAGAGACTAAGGCCGGGGATTTAGCTCAGTGGTTCTGCTGCCTGCCTCACAAGCAAGACCGAGTTCTATCCCCGGTACCAAAAAAAAAAAAAAAAAGAACAAGTTAGAGACTAGCCTGGGCACTTAGCCAGACTCTGTTTTGAAATTTCAAAATAGGGCCAGGGATGTAGCTCAGTGGCACAGTACGTGCCTACCAAGCCTGAGGCCCTGAGTTCAAATCCCAGTACCTCCTCCAAAAAAATTAAAAAATAAAAAGCTGGAGCCGTGATCCCAGCATTTGGGAGGCTGAAGCAGGAAGATCACTGTGAGTTTGAGGCCAGCCCGAACTACAAAGGGAGACCCTGCCTTAAAAAACCAAAAGAAAGGGGTGGGGATTTAGCCCAGCAGCACCATGCCTGCCTTGCAAGCACAAGGACCTGAGTTTGATCCCCAGTACCAAAAAAAAAAAAAACTCCCCCAAAATAAAATAAATTCACCATTTAAAAATAAATAAATAAATAAATAAATAAAAGGGCTGGGGATGTAGCTCTGGTAGTACATCTGCCCAGCATATACAATGCCCTGGGTTTAATCCACAGTACTGCAAACAAAGCAACAAAACACCCAGAATAAACATTCAGGAAGCACAGTTGATATGAAGCCCTCTTAGGCATGATCAAATGGCATCTTTAATTTACATAGACTGGATGCTTTTTCTTCCTTACTTCTCTGTTGTTTCTCACTGGGCCTCCGACAGCCCCTCAAGAACAGAAGGAAAGTGGTGTGAAAAAAAAAAAAGGGCTAGAAAGGACTTAAGAGGTCCACCCACCCAATCCTCTCTCCCTTCTTTCCTTCTTCCCTTCCTTTTATGCTGTGCATTGAACCCAGAACTTCATATACTCAAGGCAAGACTAGTTTTTCTTTTAAGAGTAGAATCACTGGGCCGGGGATTTAGCTTAGTGGTTCTGTTGCCTGCCTTGCAAGCACAAGGTCCTGAGTTCAATCCCTGGTACAAAAACAAAACAAAAGAATCTCCAATTTCCCTTCCCCTCCAAGTTATGGTTTCTGTGAGGAGGTAATTTGGAGACCAACTGGTGATTATTTTTCTTTCATTCAGTTGACTAATGTGTATTCTTGTTTTCATAAAGATTTTGAGGCCATGAACTAAGGATGAAATCCTCTACATAGAGCCTGAAGAGCTTCCCTTTGGTCTTAGGATAAAGCCAAAACTTTGTACCGTGGGCCTACAACTCCCAGCTTCGTGCCGGCTCTGCCTCCTTCTCCAACTTTGTCTCCCCCACAGGACACCTGGCTTTGTGTGTTCCAGGCACTTCCATTTGCTTTTGAATTCTCCATGCTTCTTCATGCTGTGGGGTCTTTGCACATGTTCCCTCTATCTAGAATGTTTTCTTTCCCTGTTCACCTTCAGAACAGGTCTGGCCAAGTTTACTTCCTCCGGAAAGACCTCACTGATTAGATCAAAGCACCCTATTTGAGCCCCTCATTAATTTGGTCAAAGCTCCATGTTATAACCTTCCATAACACAAAGCAACACTCCTTTGTCCTCATCAGGGCCAACTTTGTGGGTATGTGACAGGTGCAGTCACACTGGACCTTGTGCCTAAAGGGCCCAATGATTGAGCTAATGTTTTGTTCTCACTTGTCTTGCTTGACTCTTTTTTCAGTACTCAAGATCAAACCCAGTCTATCTTTTTTATTTGGAGGGGGGTGGCTTTGAAACAGGGTCTCTCTCTGAGGTGCAGGCTGGCATTGAACTCACTATGTAGCCCACTATGTAGCCCACTATGTAGCTGGCCTCGAACTCATAGCGATTCTCCTGCTTCATCCTCCCAAGTGCTGGGATTATAGGCGTCCACCACCGTGCCTGTCTCTGTCTCTGTCACTAGCCTCTCTCTCTCTCTCTCTCTCTCTCTCTCTCTCTCTCTCTCTCTCTCAGAATTGAACCCAGGGCTTTCATACTGAGCTACGTCCCCAGCCCTTATTTACTGTATTTATTCATTCATTTATTTTGGCAGTATTTGGAATTGAACCCAAGGGTCCTTCTTATTTTTTATTTTGAGAGTGGATCTCATTATATTACTCAGAAGGGATTTAAACTTATAATCCTCTTCCCTCAGCCTCCCAGAGTACTGAGATTACAAACATGCACCACCACACCCTGCTGAAATTCTTAATTTCTGAATAAAAGATCTCTACATAGAAAGACCCTGTCTCAAAACACAAATAAATAAGGAGCTCCTGATAGCCCCCCAAAAAATGAATAAAAGATCCCACATTTTATTTGTAATATCCTCAAAATTATGTAACTTGTTCTGGTTCTAGTTACAATTTTATATTTCTTAGTGTGGCAGTTTGTCAATGACTATCCCCAACTATACTGTCAGCCCCTAAAGGGAGCTGTATTTGCTCTTTTTGTTGTTGTTTTTTAGTATATGTGCTGCCGAAGCGAGCACATGTTGTTTTTTTGAGACAGGGTCTCACTGTGTAGTTCAGGCTGGCCTTGAACTCACTATATAGCCCAAGCTGGCCTCAAAATTGCAGCAATCTTCCTGCCTCGGCCTCCCAAGTGCTTGTATTTGTTCTTTATATGTTTATCCCTGTCACCTATAATACCTATAATACGTAGGTACTCAGTAATTGCTGAATGAATGGGTGAAAAAGATTTTGCCTTAGTCACTAAGACACAATACTCAACAACCACAATTTAAAGGAGGACAGGTTTATTTTGGCTCATAGCTTTTGAAGATTTCAGTCCATAGTCAGCTGGCTCCAAGGCAGAAACCCATGGGGGAAGGGCCTGCAGGAAGGAAAGCTGCTTATGTCATGGGGGCCAGGAAGTAGAGCAAAGCTGAGAGCTGGAGAAGGAGATAAACCCTTCCAGGTCCTGAGACCAGTGACCCGCCTCTTCCAGCCAGACCCCCACCTAACAGCAAGTCAGCTCTAAGCCTCCAAGATTCAGTCATCTTCCAAAAGTGCCACCTATTAAAATAAAATGAAGCTCCACTTATGAGTACCTAAGGCTCCTGAGGGACATCTAGATATATATAGATAGATAGATACATATATAGATACAGATACAGGTATTTTTTTTTTGAAAGGGTCAGTTTGAGGCAGGGTCTTGCTATGTAGTTCAGGCTGGCCTTGAACTCCTTATGTAGCCCAGGCTGGCCTAGACCCTCCTGCCAGTGCTGGGATTACAGGCATGCACCACCATGTCTGGTTTATTTTTCCTTTCTTATCTTTTTTTTTTTTTGAGACATGGTCTCCCCCAGGCAGTCCAGGCTGGCCTTGAACTCAGTATGTAGCCCAGGCTGGACTCAAACTTGCAGCAGTCCTCCTGCCTCAGCCTCCCAAGTGCTGGGATTATGGGCAGGCGCCACCATGGCTGGCTATTTGTTTTGTTTTTGTTTTGAGACAGGGTCTCACCATGTAGCTCAAGCTGCCCTTGAGGGGCATCTAGATAAAAAACAACAGATTCTTTGGGGAATTTGAAATTTGGTTAGGTTGATAAGTGTGTTTCCCCCACTACCCCCACAACCCTCGAGGGCAGTGCCTGAGTCATCCCTTTCCTTCTCCATAGTGTCCTGTGCAGGGCCTGGCAGCCAGGCACTATCAGTGCATGGGTGTGAATTGCAGCTAAACATACATCCATCATCAAGAGAGTAGTTTTGATTTGGCCATACTGGAGGTGACAAAAGGTGTTGTGGACAATGAGAGATGAAGAGAAAGTAACTGAAGTGGGCCCTGAAGGAAGATGGGACAGGCATTAGTGACGAAGGAACAGCCCTGAAGGAGTCAAAAGCAGTGGCAGTGGTGTGCTCTTCCGGGGAAGGACTGCAGCGTGTTTGTGTTGCCATCTGTCAGGAGAGAGGGGTGGAGGTGTATGTATGTGGGAATATTATGAATTATGAATTCAGGGATTAGGTCCTAGAAGTTCTACAGCTGCCCAGGAGTAACTTCTTCCGTGCCCTATTCATTCAGCCATTTAGCAAGTACACAGAGAGTTCTGGAAATGTGCCAGACCCTCCCTGTTCTAGGTGCTAGGGATACAGAGGTGCCCCCACCTAGGTGACAGCCTGGTGCAGGGATCAGAGATGTGAACACAAGGCCTGGGAATTCAGTGGTGGTCCCTCCCCCTTCCGGTGGAATGAGGGTCAGTTGATGCAGTGACCCAAAGTAAGGATGAGACCAGAGTTGTTAGCTGGACCAGGCCAGGAAGAGAAGGGGTGTTAGAAGCCATGTTAACAATTTAAACTTGATATTTGCTGGGTGTGGTGGTGCAACCCTGTAATCCTAGCACTTAGGAGGCTGAGACAGGAGGGTTGCTATGAGTTTGAGACCAGCCTGGAGTACATAGTCAGACCCAATTTTAAAAAACAAATGAATTTGATACTTGACGCTGGAATGACCTTGAGGGGTTTGAAGCAAGGGAGTGACTTGGTCAGATTTGTGTTTCAGGAAGCTTACACTGCCTCTTATAGAGAGTATGGATGGAGGAGGCCAGCTGGAAGGCTGTGTGGATGTCAGTATGCACTAAGGAAAGGCTGTGGGGATGGAGAGAAAGCATGGGAAGAGGAATGGGCAAGACTGGCTGACCAAGGAGTTAAGGGAAGATGAGGAGTCCAGACAAAGCCTAGGACTCTGTCTTATGTGTCATGGAGAGGGGTGGGAGACAACCTTGAGATGGGGAACTCTAACACAGAGATTTGGGGGGTCAGATCCCAAATTCAGTTCTGGATATCCTAATTAAACCTGCCTCTTGTCCCAAAACAGGAATCGGAAGAAAAGCCACACCAGCCAACTGCAGGAGCTGGCATTGCTGATACCTGTGACCCTGAAGACTGGTTCCAAGAAGCTCACCAAGGTACAGGGAGTGGAAGAGAGGAAGCAGACTGGGGAGGCGGGGCTTCAAAGAGCAGTGAGCAGGGAGCCCATCCTGGGAAAGCTAAACTGAACCTTTCAGTGACAGCCTTGGAAAAGGAATGGCCCTGCTGTAAATGGGAATTTCTGGGAAACTGAGAGCCCATGACTAAAAAAGAGGCAGGAGGAACTGGGAAGGAAGACTAAAAATCAAACAGCCCCAGGTTTGAGCCCTCCGGCTTCATAGCTGCAAATCTCCAGGCAGCTTCCTCAGGCTACTCAACCTCTCTAAGCCTCAGATTTCTTGAGTATAAAATAAGGAAAAATAGGATCAGGGATTTAGCTCAGTGGTTCCACTGCCTGCCTCACAAGCGCAAGGTCCCGAGTTCAATCCCTGGTACCAAAAAAAAAAAAAAAAGGAAAAATAATTCTGGCTCCAGCTCCCCAGAGATACTGTGAGGCCAAAATGACCTAATAGCTCGACAGGCCCAGCACATAGCATGACCTGAATAAATGTCAGTTCCCTCCTGAAGTCCCTCCCTTTGGGACCTGTGGGGTTCATCTCTGAAGTTGGAATAGGTGAGGTTTCTCTGGCTGTCCCGCAGGGTACTCAATAAGTGCATACAGGCCCAAGCTAACACCGTGCTCCCAGTGGGAACAGCTTAATATGAGACTCAGATCCTGAAGGCTCAGTGAGATGATTTCTTGCTATATTTCCTCTCATTCAGTTCATTTACTCATTCTTTCACTGGCCCTTTGTGGAAGATTGTTGGATGCCAGAATCTGTTCTGATTGTCACAAAGGAGGCAAAAATTTGAGCCCCAATCCTTCTCTGGGATTTTTTTTTTTTGAGACAGAATCTCACTATGTAGTCCAGGCTGACCTTGAACTCACTATCTAGCCCAGGCTGGCCTTGAACTCGCAGCAATACTCCTGCCTCAGCCTTTTCTCTGGAAATTTAGAATCTCGAATCTATCAGGAAGTAGTGAATCTGAACACCAGGATAACTGGTGCCAGATGGGATGTTTGACCTGATTTAGAGACCCTCAGAGGAGTGGGTGCCTGGAGAGACTTGCCTGACTCTAACCTGACCTTTCCCCTGCTCACCACATTCCATCAACCACCATGTCATGCAGAATTTTCCTCCTAAATATCTCTATCACAGGTGCTTGGGCGAGTTTCCCAGGGCTGCTGTAACAAATCACCACAAACTTAGTGATTTAAATGACACAGATTTATTCTCACAGTTCTGGAGGTCAGATGTCCCAAATCAGGCTCACTGGTCTAGCTAGAGTCAAGGTGTCAGCAGAGCTGGTTCTTTCCAGGAAAGGATCTGTTGCCCTTCCCTTTGCCAACTTTTGGAGGCTGACTGCATTCCTTGGCACCTGATGAGCCATTCAAAGCAAGCAGCTCAGCGTCTTCAAATCTCTTGTCTCCTCCTGCTTTTATTGTCACACTGCCCTTGCTGCCTTTGGCTCTCCTGCCTCCCATTTATAAAGACCCTTGTGCCTGGCATGGTAATGCACACCTGTAATCCCCAGCACTCTAGAGGCTGAGGCAGGAGGATCACTGGGAGTTCAGGGCCTACTTCGTCTAGATAGTGAGTTCAAGGCCAGCCTGGACTACACAGCCAGACCCTGTCTCAAAAAAACAAATGAACAGCCAGGGATTTAGCGCAGTGGTTCCACCGCCTGCTGAGCAAGCGCAAGGACCCAAGTTCAATCCCTGGAAAAAAAAAAAAAAAAAAAAAAATGAACAAAAAATACCCTTGTGGTCACATTGGGCCCACTCAGATACTCCAGAGGAATTACCTCATCTCAAGATCCTTAACTCACATCTACAAAGTCCCCTTCACCATATAAGGCAACATATTTATTGGTGCTGGGAAGTAGGATGTGGACATCTTTGGAATTGGGATGTGGACTATTTGAGGATTTTTTTCTTCTGTCCTCAAATATTTGCATATATAGTATATATACATGCTGTGATAGGTGCTTGGGCAGCTAAAGATGGGAAGGACACGGTCCCCTGCCTTTGGGAAATGACAGTCAAGTCAGAGGTCAGGCAACATTTTGTAACAGACCTGATGCCACATACCACATCCCTTAGAATCTCCCCAGGTCTCACCTTTCTTCCTTTCTTTTCTGTTTTTGTACTGAAAATTGAATCCAGGGCCTCTGCACTGAGCTACATCTCCAGCCCTTTTTAATTTTTTTTTTTTTTTTTGAGACAGGATGTTGGTAAGTCACTAAGTTGCCTAGGCTGGGCTCAAACATGCAGTCCCCCTGCCTGAGCTTCCCAGAGTGCTGGGACATGTGCCACCACCCACAGAATCCCCTACTTTCCTTACCATTTATCCTCTGCTAGTGAAGGATCCCTCTTCCCACTCTTCACCCTCCCTTAAGTTCAGTCCTATACAGCTTCATCCCAGTCAGTATCCAGAGCCACTCATGGGTCAAACTCAGTCTTTGCCTAGAGGAAATCACACCTGTCCCAGGGCTGTGCCATGTGCTCATGAACTAATAGGAGCTTTTATTTGTGACTTGTCCTGTTCCTGAGGTGTGGGATTCGTAGCATCATTCTGCTCTACCTGGTCTAATTAAATGCCTCATTCCTCACATGCTCCTATAGTTTTTCCCTCTGACCACAAAGGCCCTCAGCATATTACTTCAAACATTTTCCTTGTTCCTTAGGACAACCACCAGCACCACCCCCTGGTGGGGGGGGGCGGTACCGGCGATCGATCGAACTTGGGTCCTTGCACTTGTGAGGCAGGCAGCAGAACCACTGAGCTAAATCCCTGGCCCCTTACCACCCCCTTTTTTTATAAGACAGCATTTTACAGAGTTTCCCAGGCTGGCCTCACATTTGCAGTGCTCCTGCCTCCACCTTCCAAGTAGCTGGGATTACAGGCGTGCACCACAGCACATGGCTTCAGATTCCCTTTAGGTGGAGAATTCTTCCATATCTCCATTCCCGGCAGCCGCAGGGCTCAGCCTAAAGCAGATAACAATAAACATTGCTCCCAACTTATTGAAAGCTCCAGGTGTCAGACTTTGAATACTAAGCATCTTAGACACAGTTTTTCATTTAAGCTTCCCATGAGGTTTGTGAGAGATGTGTGAGTAGGCTTGCTTTTTGGTTTAAGGAAATTGAAGTGCAGGGGTCATGTTGCCCAGAAACACACAGCTAGGCAATGGAAGTGTGTGTGTGTGTGTGTGTGTGTGTGTGTGTGTGTGTGTGT